TCTGAAACTTGTTCTTTAGAGTAAAGATGTCAAAGTGAATGGAAGACATGAGGAGGTAAAAGAGATGAATAGAAAATTTTAAAGGGCAGCTTCAGAAGACAAAGTCAAGAATTATAATGAAATGTACAAAACCTAGAGTTAGAAAACCAAAAGGGAAGAACACACTCAGTATCTCAAGCTGAAAGAACTGACGAATAAGTTCAAGTCATAACTTGAAATATTGAAGTATTCTATGGGCAAAATATTGAATGATGCGGAAAACATATAAAGAAGATAAAAGGTATACACAAAGTTACTGTATCAAAAAGAAATGGTCACTGTTCAACCATTTCAAGAGGTAGCATATAATCAAGAACCAATGAAGAAGGAAGAAGTCCAAGCTGCAGTGAAGGCATTGGCAAAAAAAACAAAGGCTCCAGAAACTGATAGAATTCAGATTGAAATCTTTGCACAAGCTGAGATGGCAATGGAGGCACTGACTCATCTATGTCAAGAAATTTGGAGGACAGCTACCTGGCCAACCAACTGGAAGAGATCCCTATTTGTGCCCATTCCAAAGAGAGGTAGCCCCAAAAAATGTGACACCACAGAACAACATCAATATCATCTACAAGTACAATTTTGTTGAAGATAATTAAAAAATGTCTGCAACTGTACATTGAAAGTGAACTTCAAGAAACTCAAGATGAATTCAGAAGAGAATGTGGAACTAGAGATATCATTGCTGATGTCAGATGGATTTTGGCTGAAAGCAGAGAATACCAAGATGATGTTTACCTATGTTTTATTGACTATGCAAAGGCTTTTGACCTTGTAGATCATGACAAGCTATGGATAACACTACGAAGAATGGGTATTTCAGAACATTTGATTGTGCTCATGAGGAAGCTATATACAGACCAAGAGGCAGGGGACACTGAATGGTTTAAAATCAGGAAAGGTGTATGACAGGGCTGTATTCTTTCACCTTAATTTTTAAATTTGTATATTGAACAATTAATCAGAGAAGCTGGGTTATACGAAGAAGAGAGTGGCATTAAGATGATCAAGATTACTGACAGATCAACGGACATAGCCTTCAGTATGGATTTCACCTCAATGTAAGAAAAGATCCTCACCACTGGACCAATAAATAACATCAAGATAAATGGAAAAAGGATTAAAGTTGTCACAGACTTTTTTTTTTTTTTGATCTACAATAACATCTATGGAAGTAGCATTCAAGAAATCAAATGACATATTGCACTGGGCAAATCTGCAGCACAAGACCTCTTTAAAGTGTTCAAGAGCAACGATATGTGTTTGAGGACTAAAGTGTGCCTGACCCAACAGATATTTTCAATAACGTCGTATGGATGTGAAAGTTTGAGAATGAATAAGGAAGACTGAAGAAGAACTGATGCATTTGAGTTATGGTGTTAAGAGGAGAATATTCAAAGTACCATGGGCTGCCAAAAAGAACCAACAGATCTGGGTTGGAAGAAGTACAGCCAGAGTGCTCCTTAAAGGCCAGGATCATGAGACTTTCTCTCTCACACTTTTGACATATTATCAGGAGGGACCAGCCCTCGGAGAAGGACATGATGCTTGGTAAAGTGGAGGGTCAGTGAAAAGGAGAAAGACCCCCAAAGAGATGAAATGCCTTAGTGGCAGCAGTGATGGGCTCAAGCATAACAATAATTGTAAGGACGGTGCGGGACTGAGCAGTGCTTCATTCTCTTCACTATGAGCTGGAGCTGACAGCAACAATTGGCCTAAAATAAGTCACACATTGACAGAGAACTTCCAGAGGTTCAAGCTGGATTCAGAAGAGGCCGTGGAACAAGGTATAACACTGCTGATGTCTGACGGATCTTGGCTGAAAGCAGACAATATCAGAAGGATGTTTACCTGTGATTTATTGACTACACAAAGGCTTTCGATTGTGTGGATCATGACAAGCTATGGGCAACATTGCGAAGCATGAGTATTTCGGAACACTTAATTGTGCTTATGAGGAATCTGTAAACTGGACTAAGAGGCAGTTGTTTGAACAGAACATGGGAACACTGAATGTTTTAAAATTATGAAAGGTGTGCGACAAGGTTGTATTCTTTTACCATACTTATTCAACCTGTATGCTGAGCAAATAAT